CGAACATGATTTGAGGAAAGTTTTTAGATGGTGTTAAGGAATTTTGTGTGCCACAGACTGAAGACACAGAAATTACTAAATAAGGTAAGTGGGCATTTCCTTTGTGTAGTGTGAATATACGATAAGATGTATTTTCTTTTTTATGTTATTTCATTGCTTGATTTAAAATGCCATTTATCAAGATTATATACAGTGGCTCTCAAAAGTGTTCGTACACTTATAATTTTCATTAAATCTCTATCCATTAATTAAAAGTATGGCTCTATCCATTAATTAAAAGTAAACTTTCTGAATAAGATTTTAATAATAAAATCTATAATCTATTCGTAACAAAATTACATGAAATATTTTTAAAATATAGCTAAACTTTATTTTTAAGAAATTAATAACCAAAAAATGACAAACATTTTATCTCACAAAAGTCTTCGTATACTTCAAAAAAATCTTGACATATTAGTAAACATTTTCATTTTTCATTAAATTAATATTAGTAGGATATCCTTTAGCATCCACAACAGCTTTTAAACGTCTGAGAAAAGATTTTACTAGTTTTTTTTTTTTTTTTTTTTTTTTTTTTTTTTTTTTGTAATTTCTGTATCAATGTTCATTCATTCTTCCATCATGGCTGTTTTGAGTTCGCTTTTCATTTTGATGTTGTGTTTTCGTACTCTAACCTCCAGCTCTTTCCAAATGTGTTCTATGGGGTTTAAATCTGGCGACTGAGGTTGCGTTTTCAAAACCTGTGGACAATTATAGAGACACTACAAGCGAATGTTGAGAGCTGTATACTTAGGATTGTTATCATGATTAAAAATAAAGTTGTTTCCAATACCCAAATTTTGGGCTGATAATTTTAAATTGACTTTTAAAATATTTAAATAAAAGAGAATGGTTCATTATGCCATCAATAAATACCAAATTACCTAGTCCTGATGCTGCCATGCACTCCCACACAAGAACACCTCCACTGCCATGCTTAACTGTTCCAACTAAGTTCTTATAATGAAGTTCTTCGTTTTTTCTTCTCCATACAGTTATTCGACCATCAGAACCAAAAATGTTAAATTCAAATTTGTCAGCAAATAAGACATTATTCCAGTATGTTTCAGATGTATTTATCATTGATTTTTGCGAATGAAAGCCTAAGCTTTCTGTTTTTCTCACTAACAAAATTTTTTTTACGGGCAGAACGCTCATGTAATCCAGCTTCTCTGAGAACTCGTCGAACAGTTTAAGGTGAAATTGAAGTAGAAAACTTTGCATTAAATTCTGTAGAAACTTTTACAGCACTCAAACATGGGTTTTTCACAAATTTTCCAATAATAAATCTCTCATCACGTTTAGTTAACTTTCTTGGTCGACCTTTTCTTACCTTGTTTTCAATTCGATTTTCTTCTTTAAAGTGTTTTATCACATACTGCAGTGTAGAATGGGATAAATTAACTAATTTAGCAATATTTCGAATTGATTTACCACTACTATGGTGAAAAATTATCAATTTTCGAATGCTGTTTGTAATTTCTTTACGACTGTGTGACCCATTTTTCAATAATAAAGAGAATATTATGAAGTAAACAATAAAAAATTAAAGCAAACAATTTTTTAAATGCCATTATAATGCAAAAATTAAAAAAGCGGCAAACGATAATTCTAATTTTGACTTTATTCAGAAATATTTCAGTGTACGAAGACTTTTGTGAGATAAAATGTTTTATCATTTTTTGATTATTAATTTCTTTAAAATAAAGTTTGGCTATATTTAAAAAATATTTCATGTAATTTTGTTACAAAAAGATTATAGGTCTTATTATTAAAATCTAATTCAGAAAGTTTACTTTAAATTAATGGATAGAGCCCTATTTCAATGAAAATCATAAGTGTACGAACACTTTTGGGAGCCACTGTATTTTTTGTTTGGCTCTAGTTTAGAATTGGGTGCTCCTTCGATTTTTAAGTGAAAATAGATTGATGTGTATGTGTATATGGACATAGTCAAGTCAGTGAGGAATGGTGAGTTTGTGCAATTCTCTGATTTTTTTTTTAGTGAAAATAGATCAATGTGTACATGGACAAAGTCAAATCAGTGCACAATGCCAAGTTTGCACAATTCTCTGATGTTCTTTTAAGTGAAAATAGATCGATGAAAATAGTCAAAGAATTGAACAAACTAAGTGTGCATGGACACTTAGTTTGTTAAATTCTTTGACTTGTTTGTGTAACGGCTATATTTGAAATTGTGCTTTGCTGGCAATATCACCAATTTTTGCCCAAGGGGCACTCTTAAATATATTTTTACCTCTGCAATCCTACAAGAAGAGTTCTGAGTTTGTCGCATACTATCATTATACTCCTATCACATTTTCTGTCCTTTCCCCCCCCCCAAAAAAAAAGGTGATTAGAAACTACCAGGATTAAAAAAAAATGTACTGAAATATGGAACTTTATTCCAGATGGAAAATCATGGAAATTTCATTCAGATCAATCATTAAAATATGATAGCCACAAGATGTACACAAGCGATAAACATGTTTTCGATATGTTTATCGATATATATAGTCTTAATTTTTTTAATGAAAGTTTGGTGCCATTTAAATAATGGGGCCTGTAATATTAAGTATCTTAACTTCCTGCAAATAATACACACGAAAATAAATAAATAAATAAAAAGTAAAAATGAAACACTGATCCAAAGTTTTGGTTGTTCTAAATTCTTTCAATGTATAATAAGCTTACTGATTTTACAAGCTTACAGATCAGCATCAAAGCACTAACGAAAAATTTATTTAAAATAACTCAACTGCCAACTTATACAATCCTAGTAGACAAATTAGTATGCATTATTACAATTTATTGTGCTCAATTTAATCCATGGTTTAGAATTTGCAGAAAATCAAATCAAAATGCAAACTAATCTACTAGATAAATAAACAGTGGTTGATCTTTACATTATGGTAACTTGGCGTTTTTTTGGCGAAAATTTGGCGACCAACTCTCCTACAGCAACCCTCTATTTTTTTTTCCCCGCCGCCATTTTGTCTTCACGAAGTAAAGACATGTTTCTTTTCTTTTTATCTATTGAACATTCTTCCAACAATCTACTACCGAATTACACTTATGCTAGAAATTTTATCTAACAAAACTGCTTAATCATGACAAATATTCACTGCAAAATTGGGAAAAGTGCACAAATACCATACTCCTTACGCGTTTTTCAAAATAACACATACACATAAATCATGTACACGCCGACTTATTTTTACTTAAAAAAACATCCCAGAATTGCACAAAAATGGCATTGGGCACACTCTTCACTATATCCATGTACATTGCTTTTTTCTCATAAATTAGAAAAATTTCACGAAAATACATGACAATTTTCTCAATCTTTAAACCCGGTAAAAAGAACATATATGAAATTACCTGATCGCGAAAAAGTATTTATCTTTCCAAATATGAACATTTCCACATATAAAATAAATAAAATATCCAAAAACTTTTACCTCTAAATCATCTATTACTTATACATGTCACCAACGAATTCATACCGCAAGCATTACAAATACTTAGTATCAAATATTTAAATTATTTCCATGCACGTTTACTTCAACTTAAACGTATCTACCAATTCCTACAAACAAAATTCACAAAATAACTATCATTTAATTAAAATATCACTAAACCATGTACACTCCCGACTTATATTTTTACTTAAAAAAAACATCCCAGAATTGCACAAAAATCGCATTGCGCACACCCCTTTACTATATCCATGTACACTGCTTTTTTCTCATAAATTAGAAAATTTCACGAAATACATGACAATTTTCTCAATCTTTAAACCCGGTAAAAAGAACATATATGAAATTACCTGATCGCGAAAAAGTAATGAACATTTCCACATAAAAATAAATAAAATATCCAAAAACTTTTACCTCTAAATCATCTATTACATTATACACGTCACCAATGAATTCATACCGCAACCATTACAAATACTTATTTGTCAGATATTTAAATTATTTCCATGCACGTTTACTTCAACTAAAACGTATACCAAATTCCTACAAACGTAAAATTCAAAAATAACTATCATTTAATTAAAATATAATTAAATTTAAAAACACTACTTAAATATAAATGAGCACATACATTAAATTAATACATACATAATACCCATTTCGAATTCACTTTAGTAACGGCCATGGGATCCAAAAATTCACGAACACTGTTTCACACAACACAGAATAAAGCCAAATACAAATTTCCAGATTTTTTTCCCGATTTCCCTTCCCCCCTTTTCCGATTAAAGAACCGTAATTTTGTCCATTAATATCACATGACATATCCCATGATCTCTCATTTCCCTCACACAAAATAATGCGTAATCGGAACTGAGTACTGCTCACATTATTGCCAAAGTGCCAGGTAAGTAACCTTTATCGCCTCCAAAATGTCGCCAAACTACCAGTTACCATATTGTAAAGATCAACCTAAACAGTATTTTTAAATTACACATTTATACAAAATGACCCTACACTTCTACAGCTCATATACAGAAGTACCATGTTTCAAATTACACTGAAATACACACAAAGAAGATAATAGTGAAATGTTCATTATCAGTTTTTCAGAACGCATAATTTCAGAATTTCTAAAAATTAGGTGAAAAAAATTTTTAAGCCAAAGAAAAAATTTTAATCGCATAATATCGGTATTTGTGGACATTTCCACGTGATTTTTTTAGAAATTTCCAAGCTACGTGTAGTTTGTTGCAGCATTCTGATTATTGATTTGTGCAGCAATTTCTAAGAATTTAAGTGAAAATCTACGAAAATAACTATAAATAAAAACGTTATTTCATGCAATATTTTAGCATTTGTATTTACTTACTACAATACAGCATACAAAGTATCTTGAGAACAATGTTATTCCGAGGTTTCTAATGTGAATCAATTCACAAATACTTAATAAAATAGAAATATTTTAGAGACACTACTTACAGATTTCCGAACAGAACAAAGGACCACATAGAAAGCATTCTATTGCTATCATTTACTTCACATTCACTTGAAACATTACACAGGTGAAACAGTTTTCAGTAACGCACTACCTTAGGTTATCATCACTTTTGTTTGCAGGAAACTGCAAGATTTCCGACTTAGTCTCACCTAATAGACAGCTAACTTTTGTTTATTTATTCAAATATTTTCAAAATTAATAAAAAATTCAAAGGATCAAATAATCTTGGTTGTTATCAGCTAAAGAATACAAATATCTGACTTTACAAGGAATGAGACACTATTCACTTCTATTTTTAGTTCAAAAACTTAATTTTGAATAGATAACTGTTAACACATATTACAGATAACCTAATTTTAAAGAAATCCAGAATAATAGAAGTTATAATTACGGGCTAAAGTGCAGAATCAACGAACATTTTATTCAGTTTTAAACCTACTTAATGCACAGAAAATGCAGAATGCAATTACGAAAAATAGTTACGTACCTTCTACAAATTCTAAACAGAAACTCTTTGGTGCAAGAGCCACGTCTTTAGGCCCGAAGAGCGAAAAATCGAATTAGGTAGAAAGAATCGTGTAAGTTGAATATTGGTTCATGTTTTTAAATTGCTTTGTGCATTTGGTACAGAATCATGGCGTTTTTAAGTTTTGCAATCTTTTAAATTTTATAAATTCTATATGGTAAGTTCTTTTTTGAAGCATTAGAAAGTAATAATCAAACTGCAGTTTCTATTTATTTTGGGTGTTTATCGTTTAACGGTATCTTGGATTTCATGCGTTGTACATTATGATTTGATAGGGTTTCATTTTGGAAGATGATGCATGGAAACACTCAAACAACTTTCCCATGTAAAGTAATGGTAAAATTATTATTTCGTTTACGATACAAGTGATTTCCGAATGTATTATACAATGGTAAGGTTTCGTAAACCAACAGAAGCCTCTGTGTTTTATGAAATATTCATATAATAAACTATATTAAAAAATTAGCTATATTGAAAAAGTAAAGGATGCTCAAATAAAATTCTAAACGGAGAACCAGGGGCCCTGCAGAAGTTATAATACAGCTCAGATCGGTGAGCTTGTCAAGAAGCTGAGCCAAAGAATCTCTAAAGATAGCTTTGGCTCAGCCAAAGAATCCTTAGAGATTCTTTGGCTGAGCCAAAGAACTTACAAGAAAAAAACATCTCGTATAGTACAACTGTTTCTCTTCGGTGTGATGAAATCACTCTTGCTTTGGAGAAGCTTTCCTTTTTCTCATTACTAGTTCTTTGGTTGAGGGGAGTTGCATCGTTTCTCCCATCTATTAGGCATCCAGTCTCGGTGCCCTTGGTCAAAAAACTTCTGAGGAGTTTCTAGAAGTTCTTTGCACCGTTGGCATCCAGGTTTCATTCCATCAGTTTTACGAAATGAAATTATGTATTCAACAGAAAGCCATCTATCTTTTTAGATGTGTCTTCAATTTTCGCTCAAATTTTCAATCAAAGTCATGTAGCAGGAAAGGTATGCGAATGATGGGATTATGTACTGTGGTTTTTATTTTATGAGTAAGCAATTAGTTAATCGGGAAAAAGAAGCCTACCGTGTGACGTAATTAACATTCACAATAATTCCCCAGAAACTAATCATTAGTTCTCAGAATGTGGCGCCATCTATAGGACTCACATATTACTAAACTTTATAAGTTTTAAGGTATTTCTCCCGTACATTCAAATTGTTTTTCATACTATTGCCCCCCCCCCCAGCAGTATGTAAGCTCCAACGGTTAATCCTCGGATGGGTGTTCTGTCAAGTAATGTAATATGTATGCGTAAATAAACATGCTTAAAAGGGAAAATGTCAGTACTTAATGAACGTATCAAAATTATTACTACGTAATAACAGTCACTTATCAGCAATAATTTAAACACAGAGTGTTATTTAAAGAGTTTATCTAATAAACCAGGAATTAATTACAATATTTATTTTAATTCTAAACAAAAGAATACCTTTTAAATAATTAATTTTTCTATTTAAAAAATTAAATAAATTTAAATTTTACAGCTTTTATTATTCAATCTCAGATTCGGTCGTATAGAACAGTTTATGGTATTTGAGATTTCACAAATATGCTTAAAAATCTTTACAAATATTCTCTAAACTTGAGAAATCATAGAAAGAGAGACACAAAGTAAGAAATTTAGTGACAATTTTACACAAAGACCCAAAAGAAGTGAAATTCAATACCAATAAATTTCAAAATATCCTATAAATACTTTATTTATTTTATTTTATTTATTATTATTATTATTATTATTATTTTTTTTTTTTTTTTTTTTCCGGAAGAAAAATTTTCTAAAATTCTACTTGACTTTTTTAGCAGTCTACTCAATGAAGTCTACCTTTGGTTTCTTCATAGCCAACGTAGCACTTTTCATTTCCAAATATTAAAAATTGAAGGAAGAAAAAAATCAGTTATAGAAGTTTCAACAGAGAACAAACACTGCTATGCAAAAGTTGAAAATTCAGTTTTTGCCCTTTCAGGTTAAATTAATTTAAGTAAATACTAAGAAAATGGAGTAATTAAAAAACAAATTATGACTTTCAGGAAGAAGCAGTAAAATTTTATAAAACTAGACCGAATATTTGAAACTGAGGGGCAACACCATTAAAAAATACTTAGTGTTTTGTTGGTTGACTTCCGGAAAAAGTACCCGAATGGAAAGGTGTAGAAAAATCAGTGGAATATTTTGAAAACAAAAAATATTAATGTAAATGACACATTTTTATTTAATCAAATCACTGCAGTAAAAAACACTTTAACAAATCAACTACAGGCAAATCTACTTTAACAAATCAACTACTCGAAAAACAAAATAGCTTTTGAAAAATGAGTAGTTATATTTTCCAAATTAGAAACGGAATTTCTGGAGCAATGTAAAGATTTATATTGCATACGCGAATTTTTTTTTTTTTTTTTTCTGTTTTTTGTGGTCACAACGGTACCGCAGATAAAACATTTTCTTTGATGGAAGAATAGTAGGCGGACAAGAGGAATAAATTTCCAATCAATACTGTTAAAAGTATTTGTCGATGCTTAGAAAATCCTGATATTAATTGTTGCGAAATGTACGATTATTTACTAAATAATAAGGATCTGTTGAAAGGCCAAATCAGATGCAAGGTACATAGAAAAAGAATAAAAATTTAGTTTTATTTCTGTGATATTTTAGTTAGTTGTAATATTTATGAGCTTATTTCTGTGATTTTTGTTCCTAAATATATATATATGTAATAATAAAATTTCATAGTCAGAATACACTTAAAGTTCTAACTGTATGTTCTTTTCATTTTTAATGGCTGACGAGGCTGACGTCATTTCTTGGAAGCTCCGCCTTTCCAGAGACAATAAAAGGACTCGCAAAAGAATATCGGGGGCTTTTTCTTAAATATAACGATGCAGTAAACTTCATACAAAAAGTTATTAGTAATTCTTTTTTATTTACTCCGGAAATATGATTTTGTAACTGCTATTTCTCCTGACCAATAATAAATGGATCCTGTTTTTTAAACTTATCGTCTGATAATTTAAACTACGACTACATTTATGATTCTTCAGCATTCTATTTATTCCGAACAAAAGCTGGTACATCACATATATATATATTTCTTACAAAGGTACAAATATAATTTATACATACGGACATATATGCATATGTATACGTTTTGTTTATGTTTTTCGTTTTTGTTCTTAATAAACGTGTTTTATATTACAATTTGAGATTTCCTCCTCATTATATTCCTGTTTGACGACCGAGAAATCTAGCAACCCTAGCTTTTTAGAATAATTGCAATAATACCAGTGACAACAGCAATTCCAGAAAGGAACTACAGTATTTTAAAAAGACTCGAGACATATTTTAGGAAAAAACCGACCTACCGTTCTGCACTTATGAATATAGTATATTATAACATAGACATAAATATTAATGAAGTGTTCTATAAGTTAAACCAAAAGAGCCGCCGTATGAATATCTTATAATTTGCTGTCATTTTCTAACTTGTTCAGTTTAGGATTATACATGGATAAAACCTTGAAAACCAACCATACAGACAGATCGTTCACCTGGGATCGAACTCCTTGTGTTCAGCTACTTTAACGCTCGACCACTGGTGGAAGGTGTGTAAGAAAAAGGAACTCATACTAGCATGTCTCAGAATTCGATCATCAGAGAACTGTAGCTTTCTGAGACTCCACTGTGCAAATGCTGCTCGCGTTAGTTGAGATTCAAAATTATAATGAGAATTTGTTTGTTGTTTGGTTTAGAAGCGTTGCACGAAAGATATCTTGTTCTCATCTTTCTTAGCGATTGCACAGCCACATCACACACCCGGGATAGGACACTGAGTGTACTGCACAGCGCCACCGTATGTGCATGTACGGTACGTCTGCGATACAGATTGTCAAAAAGGTGACCATTGCTTCGGCTTCCGTTGATGCTATAGTAGAGGATTTAGTGTCTATGGTACATTCAGTGACATAGTACATGGACGCATTAATGGCACGACGTCGTTTTTCTGATGAATCCCGTTTATGCTTCCAGCATCATGACGACTATATTCTTTTTTGAAGCACTGAGACCAATGCACATTGTAAGCTTGCATTCTTCATAGCAATAACGGCCGAGTATCTAAATTAATAGTATGGGGTGCCATTTCGCTAACATCAGTCCGCATATCCGACACTTTGACCAACCATCGTTCTGGTTTAACCATCATGGCTGTGCTATACCTTGGGCTATAACCTTGGTCTCCCGTGCTCTCAAGAAGTACAGCGTAGGACCGCATATATCGTTATCTTATGTTTCATAAAGACACAAGATGTTCGATTCCTAACCTAGCCGGGGAGTTCACCACTTCATTTTAACAACCGAAAACGTCTGGACATTTGTTACAGAAAGACTAGCAGCACAGCACCCACCAACAGTACAACATATGGACTCTGATAGAGAATTGAAGCCAGCATGATCTGCAATACTCAAATCTACCATCCAAAATCTTTTTTGTTCCCATGCCCGCCGCCCATCCGGTACAGTGGTTAGTAACACTGACTGCTGTACCGATGGACCCCCATCGGTACGGCATCGTAGTTCAAATCCCGGAGAGGACGTGGATGTTCGTAAGAGTATAGTGTCTGTGCGGCAAAGGGGATTCAAAATGCACTGCAAGCCGAAAACCCTCTCGAGAGGTTGATAGTAACGGAAAAGGGGCGAGAGATCCTCGGAACACTCCTGAGGTGTTCATTCTGAAAATTGGATAG